CGAGTCGCCTTTCGTGTGCCTGTAAAACGTGCAGGCCTGCACAGGCGTGATTTCGTTCTGAAGGCATTCCCTAAAGTGAGATCCAGGGAATAAAGAAGCACCTCCAACACCTGTAAGTGAGACTAGTGAGTAACATACAGAGTTTTGGAGGTAGAGGTTGGGACTGTCGTCCCTGTTTACTACTGACTGCATGGTATGAAGCATGCTATTTAACGTCACTGGTCACTGCTTTTAATCCATTACGTCTAGTGCCACATTTTAATTTTAGGGCTATTATGGAATAAACCTATCCCCAACTTTAGCATGCAAATATGTAAGTACATATGATGGTATATATGGTGATTGTATTCATTTTCTAGGTCCAAAAAATACCACTAACCGGGTGGCTTAAAATTAGAGAAATTTGTTGTCTCATAGTCCTTGAAACTAGACATCTAAAATCAAGGTGACTAAAAAGACCCTGCTCTCTCTGAAGCCTGTGAGAGAATCCTTCTTTGCCTTTTGTTTTTAGCTGCTTGGGGTTTGCTGGCAACAATGTGGCATTCCTGGGTGTGCAGCCCTGTAACTTCAGTCTCTGCTTTCATCATCGCATGACGCGCTCCTCTGTGTCTCCAGTCATTTTCCCTCTGTGCGTGTCCACCCATGTGTTCCTATTTCCCCTTCTTAGAGGACACCGGTCACAATGAACAGTCAGGGCCCACCTTAGTGACCTTCCCTTAACTAGATTAAATCTACAAAGACCCTATTTCTGAATAAGGAAATATTTACAGATTCTGAGGGGTTAGACATTTAACATATCTTTTCGGGGGAAGACATAATGCAGCTCATACCAGTGATCTATATCATGTTTCATATTACTTTGGATTATATAATTGATAGAATAGAAACTGGATTTGACATAAGACTTTTTTTTTTAATCCAAAATGTGTTTACTGGGGTGGTTTCCCATTCACCTTGATTGGGGTGCTTTCAGTGCTGCTTCCTCCTGAAGGAACATCCTTCTGTGAGCCTTGCTTTTCCTCCTGTAGGCTGACAGGGGACAGTGGAGCAGCCGACACACAAAACTACTGTTTGTGCATGGCTGAAGACCATGGTGATTTTATAGCATCCTGGGCATTTCACGTCCATGAAGTAGGAGTTGGGGCTCTGCACCAGGCGCTTCTTCTTATGTTTCCTCTTCTCCTCCTCTGGAGAGGGATGAAGGAGATCCTTTGCGAGAGGCATGTTCTTGTGGGAAGATCGTCACCGCCAGAAGAGCGACATAAGACTTTTCATGCATCTTAAAAGTCAGCAATTCTGAACATGATTTCCTACAACAGAAAGAAATTTGGGAAGAGAAAATGATGACTTTGATTTGGAATGGATTGCACTGAAACTGACATTTAGAGAGTCATTTATAATTGCTCATTAGAAAGATTTTGGTTTTAATTTCTATCTTCTCATAAATGTGTACAACTGCATCAACATAAGTGGAGGTATTACCCTAAGGCAGATTATAAATGATTTCAGGGAACTGGTTTGTTATTTTTATTATCTGTTCAGATTGACTGTTCAAACAAAGATATTCCCCCAAATATTCATTGCCACAGAGATTTTTGCTTCTATAAAGGATGTAAGCTTTCCTCCATTTTTTTCCTCTCACCTCTTAGACAAACCTAGTCATCTCAAAAAAACCTACTTCAGACTTTCTCCAAATGCCTATTCATACAAATAACAAAATAAATATTTGTGTCTAATAATAATTATACTTTACTCACTTCCAAAATAATTTCTCAATGCTTTTGAAATGTTAAAAGGATTTATTTCTTTACTTTTCAACAGGAAACAATCAAGTAAAGACATGTTGTGGGCCTTTAAGCAAGATATTTTATTACTCTCTTACATAGAAATGCCACTTGTAAGATTCATAAAGCTAAAATAAAAAATAAAATAGATGACTGCAATGCTTCCTTTCAATCTATATAATTCATCATTCATTGTAATTCTTTAAAAAATGCAGGCAATTAAAATCCTAAGTTAAATAAACTTTTCAGGATTTGAGGAATAGGAGAAAAATGCTAAGCTTTCCAGCACGATGGCCTTTTTTTTTCGTTGGACTGGAGTGCAGTGGCATGCTTCTGGCACCCAGCCTTGACCTGCTGGACTCCGGCTATCCTTCCGCTTCAGCCTTCCCAGTAACTGAAACTACAGGCACACACTACCACGCCCGGCTAATTTTTTTGATTTATTGTAGAGATAAGGTCTCGCCAAGTTTCCCAGGCGGGTCTCGAACCCACGGGCTCAGGCAATTCACTCACCTCGGCCTCCAGAAGCGCGGGATTACAGGCTGAGCCACTGAGCCCGGCCGTGGCCTTGTTTTTATACACCTAAGAAAGCATATTGTTTAAAAAAAATTAATTCTGGACATGTCCCCTTGGTTGAAGAATCATTTCAGAACCACCCTGGCCTAACTTTAGATTAGAAAAAAAAAGAAAAAAACTTTTACTCTTCATGTACAAGGCCATCATTACTCCCGATCAGCAATACTTCCCATAATTTTGTCAGTCTAACAGCGAGTCATTATTTCCACAAGTTTACCATTTTGTATATTAAGCTCTTAGATTTTCTGAATGTTCACAAAGCAGAATTTAATAACTGCAGAAACATATTCATCATCATTTTATGTAATCGTTCATTTGAGAAAGCTAGAGGACAGACAAACAATTCTGCAAATTTTCACTTAATTAAGGGCATTTAAGTATGCCATAAGAATGTTAGTGTCATTCATGTATCCTTTATCTTATAAACTGATTTTTAAATTATTTTTTCTTTTTATCCAAGCCTTATTGGTGTACATGCTTTGTTATGATTATTTATTTAATTTACACTTGAAATCATTTAAGATAGTTTAGAATATATGTTCTAAAACTGCTAAATAACCATGAAGGCTATTAACAGATTTAACCATTGTCACCACTTGTATACAGAGGGAACATGGTTTTACAGTTGTGTCATTTCTCTGAGTAAATCTGATTCTATTTGTTAAGTTATAAAAGAAAAATAATGAAGATACTATACTATATAGGATTTTAAAAATACTTAGTATAGTTAATAGTTAACAAAATATGGGGTTATTTTATAGGAGAACTACTTGATGCTATAAAACCATATTTACACAATTTTAAATGTAGAAAAGACTGCTTTGCGATATTGTCATCATTATTATAGTCAAGGATCGCTTTTGAAATGCAATTTAATCAGAAAGAAAACTAGTAGAATACTTCTAAAAGCAAGTTAAGACCTCTGCTCAGTTATAAAAGAAATGGTCTTATTGATTTGTTTAAACCATTTTTATTTGAAAAAATAACTTGACATATCTTTATGGATTCTTAAACCCTTCCCCCTTAAGTGGATATGAAAATATCATATAGGTTACAGCACATACAACCCCATGTATCAGACAAAATACTTAACTTCCGACCTCATGACCTACTGTAGTAATTACTACAGGATCATTTGCTGTGATTGAGTTTGGATGTAGCAGTCTCTATAGATTAGTCTGTAGTGTGGTACTGAATATGGTGGCAATTATTTATTTTGCAGTTTGTTTTCTGGCTTCTACTGAATTACTGTCTTGACTATCTGATAAGTGTGACCTATAAGTGAACTTAGCAAAGTTAACTGCAGAATACCAAGTTATCATGAACCTCACAGGTACAAATATTTAACAGTTACATGTCTAAGACAACTTATTACATAGAGGAACTACACCATGCCATCAGAGAGCCTTTAGTGTGTATTATTACTGAAAAAATCGATTAAACACCTGAACACAAAAGCTTGGCTTCAAAGAGACTAGGGTTTGAGTTTTGTCTCTACAATTCTCCAAGTTGGAAAATTTGGACAAGTTACTCTCTCTATGCTTCCATTTTCTCTGCTTCACATTGTGTTTAGTGCCTATCACATGAGTTTTGACAATTATGTGTGTTTGGTTCCTACTCATAGGATTATCATGTTTACATGATAATATATATTAAAAACTTAGCAATAAATAATCAATATTAGTTTTGTTTTTTTAGTAAGAGTCTTAATTAAATAAATATAGCTCTATATGATTATAGATATAACTTCTGCTACCAAACTTGTAAAACAGAGTTATTGGATTAAAAGTTACTAGGGATTAAAAAAATAAAATAAAATTAGGTACATATACACAGTAAAATGTGATTAATCCTTTAAAAAGAAGGAAATCCTGACATTTACATCAACCTGGAGGACACTATGTCAAGCGAAGCAAGCCAAACCCATAAGGCTAATACCACATGATCTCACCTATATTTGGAGCGTGAAAAAGTCGAGCTCATAGAAGTAGAGAGTAGAATGACGGTTACCAGGCCCTGGAGGAGGATAGAGTCAGATACAAAATTTCAGTTAGACAATAAGAATAAATTCAAGAGATCTATTGTACATGATGACGGTAGTTAACGCAGTATAGAATTCTTGACAGTTGCTTAGAACGAAGATTTTGTGTTCTCATCGCAAAAAATTACAAGCATTTGGGTAATGTATATGTTAATTAGACTGATTTGTCATTCCACAATGTATACATATTTCAAGACGACATGCAGACAAATATATTTGCCACTTAAAAATACTTTTTAAGAGCCAGGCTCGGTGGCTCAGTATGTAATCCCGCGCCTTTGGGAGGCTGAGGTGAGTGGATTGCCTGAGCCTGTGGATTTGAGACCTGCCTGGGCAGCGAGACCTCATCTCTACAATAAATAAAAAAATCAGCCGGGCGTGGTAGCGAGCGCCTGTAATTCCGGCTACTTGGAAGGCTGAGGCGGAAGGATTCCCGGAGCCCAGCAGGTCAAGGCTGTGGTGACTGGGAGCGGCCACTGCACTCCAGTCTGGGCGACAGAGTGAGACTCCAGCTCAAAAAAAAAAAAAATATATATATATATATTTTTTAATATATATATTTTAATATATATATATATTTTAATATATATATTTTAATATATATTTTAATATATATATATATTTTTAAGTGAACAAGTGTCAAAAAGTCTCTATTTAAAAATTGAGTTATAATAAACGTTAGATTTCAAGTGAGTTTCAGGAATTTCAAATTTAGTGTCTAAGAACCACTTAGATATCCCAACAAACCACAGATAAGGTACACATGGTTTGAGAGAGTAGCTATGGATTTTGCAAAGATTATTTAGTTTTTAACAAATATATTTGAATCCTGTGAGTTCCCATTCTGAGGAGGAAGAGGATATAGTCGCTTCCTTACCTGAGTGAGTGGGGTTCTCATGAGACTATTCACAAGGCATTATATCACTTCCCTGAGTTATGTGCACAACAGACTAAGAGGTGACTTTCTCTTGTGGAATCTAATGAATGAGGAGAGTCTAGCTGTTCGATAGTAGGAGCAAAGGAGAACAGGCTACTTGGGCATCAGGCAGTCATACAGGAATTTACAAGACTGAAAACCGTATGTGTAATTCACAAGAGCTAGGCAAGAGCTCATTGGTAAAACCACCATGAATCCATTTTTACTGCAGCCAAGAGCACTACTTGGCATACAAGATTAGATTCTAAAGTCATTATTACCAACGGTCTTATAAATACATACTGATTTACATACTTTTGAATAAATATTATCTTTGGGATGCTAAATAGATATGTAGCTAATGATTTCACTTCTTTTGTAATCATAATTTTAGTACAATTTTTGGAATTTCTTTTAGGGTTAAAGCCATATTTTTCTATGGAGAATAAATTTGATGTTTATAAATATTTACAAGTAATTTAGGTACCCAAATGTTTATAGTGGCTTTGTGAGAGCCAAAAGCTGGAATATCTTAAATGTCCTTTAGGTGGTGAATGGGCAAACTGTGCTATATACATACAATAGACTTTTATTCAACAATAAAAATAGAAGAACTATTGATGGATACAATAAGTTGTATGAATACTACAGAGTGAGAGAAATTCGCTTCAAGAGATTGCATATGTGTGACTTCACATATGTGACTTCTTCAGCAAGTCAAAACTTGGGTGATAATGAACAACTTAGTGGCTCCTGAGGATTGTGGGCAGGTGAAGAATGTCACTGTCAAGCAATAGCACAATGGAGTATGATGAAACCGTTCTGTCCTAATTGAGGTGTGGTTGCATAACCTATACATACACAAAACCCATAAATCCATATATCAAAATTATATAGTTAATAGATTAAAATGTATTATAATTTAATGAAA